ATTACTTCTAATTGTCAAGTTTTAAATGCTTCAAACGGTGCTCATGGTCATACAATAATACTGTCTGTCTCAAGATAGCACTCCTGTAAGTATAGGGGATGGATTATTTTTGTTAAAACCTTATTTTGTTGGATTTTCTGTAATAATTGGTTAAATAGGAATTGTCTCATTTTCTTAGCATATGCAAACATTTTCAAACCCACACTTCTAATGTACATCCTATGCATTAGCCATAGAGTAAAATGATCAGCATCTTCCAGATCATTAAACTAAAACTATTGATTAAGATGATTTACTTTAGAGTCATGTAGATTGGAGCGAAAATAAGTATTCACACACACACAAAGTTTACGGAGTGTATGTCTGACCTTCAGAGACACTGATCGTCACTGGGGCATGATCTGACCATGTGATAGTTTCAATTTTAGTTCCAGTAATAAAGTGTAAAGAGTATTTACCAGTAAGAAAGAAATCAATTCTTGAGCAGGACTTATAAACCTAAATAGGACTAAAAACATGAATAGTCCATCTTAGAAGTACACTGCCAACTATCAAAAAGGTATTTAAAAAGTTGATTAGCAAAGGTTAAAAAGGTTGTGGTCTTTGGGATTTTGGAGTTGCGTCTACTTGTGGATTGGGGTAGTAATAAAGTCACTTCCAATTAGAAATATAAATGTTTGATACTTACAAACTTTCTGCAAAAATTTGATTAGAAAGCAGAACTGTTTCACATTGGTGGTCTAAATATTCACTAGGGTGCTCACTGTGTTATTAAGTTCAGGAAACAATGTTAAGTATCTACCATGTGGGTCTTGTACACATTCTAAAGATTTAAGAGTTAAAGGGGGTGATTTACTAACCTAAACACACGCACGCACCAGGTGCGTGTGATTTTCACACAGCAAAACATATTTATCAACCAAAAAGTCTCTAAAAGCATATTTTCACTAATGCCATATATGGAAAAATCATGCACATGATGCATATATAATGCTGCTTCACAGTTTAGACAAAAATGGTTAGCTCATGCATTTACATTTCTGCATTCATCAACGCAAGCAACACAATGTAGAGCTAATTTAAACAATATCACCTTGCAAGTCATGCTTGGCTTTGCACAACACACCTGCTGGGTGTGTACACACTACAAAGGTGTTTAGATTCCACCCATAGATCATGATGGGAGGGAACACACTACAGAGGTGTATACATGTTCGTGGTGTGTTTATAAGGTTAGTAAATCAACCCCAAAGAGTCTTTAATAGTGATGAGTATACCACGTATCCACAACAATTTAAAAACAAAAGGGGTTTGATGTCCCATATCGAGCAAGAAGAGGTATCCATCAATTATTGCATGTCATTGAGCAGAATTTGGTAATTCTGAGGTTTTGATGACAGGAAACATAAGGACCTGGTAACTGGTTGTTTAACAAAGGAAAAAAATATCTAAGGAGAATCCTAGAAGATATGCATAGCATAGGCTGCATTTATTCTGGGAAGGAACTTTAACAGGCTTTTGGGCACAGGGTAATGTTTAGTGACTTCTAGTGTACTATCTATCTATCTAGCTATAGTTAATGTACAGTCTTATAGTTGACTGAGATAATGCAAATTATGTCCAATCAGAATGGACATTGTTTGGTGTTCTTTCTTAGGAGAGGGGTCTGCTGGTATAATATCCCATGATTTAAGCAATTTTAGGCCTGCTTCCAGTGAGGAGAGTAAACATTTTCTCTTGTTTGGTGAGTAGAAGCTTTGTGGGATATCCCCATCTATAGGAAATGTGGTGAATTCCTAATGCTTTATTCACAGAAAGGAACTTATTTTCTGTATTAAATAGTGTGCTATGAATGATCAGCTTTTACGGTGTGTTTTTCCTAGAGGACATAATAGCGCATTCTTTAATATGCTAAAAATGTATTCTTGTCATAACATTTCTAGATATGTGCTCAGAGAGAAATTGTGGCTTAGGAGACATTGTGCCCTGTTAATTATTTCATGATCTTTCGCATCAGGTATAAGGCATTGCAATAACTGAGATAAGTAATCCATTAGCTATGCTGGTGAAACCTCTGATGTTGTGTCTGCTGGAGCAATCCTCAATGTCTGATAGTTTAATCTTTAACTGCTGAACGTCAGTGTTGTGTTCATGGTTATGTGCGTCCACTAGTTCATTTGTGAGCTGTAGAAAATACACCATTTTTGTATCTAGGGGACTGATCCTTTCTCCATGGTTTTGGATGGTTAGATCTATTTTAGTGAACATAGTGGGCATATCCTGACATAGAGAGCTATGCAATGATAGCAGCATCTCTTTCAGAGTTAGGTCGGGTAAGGTTTGATTGGGAAGCTTTCTGATATGGCCTGCACCCCCCGCCTTCTCCCCCACCACTACAACCTTAAGCCTCTATTTGGCAAGACTGCAGACTGATGAAGAGTCAAGAAGAGAGAACTCATCCAAATGCGTGTTGCTCTGCTAGTTCCACTGTATGAGCTGCTCTGATCTACCTGACCTTGTGCTGCCTAGCGAGGTAGAGCAGTCTGAGGAACTGCTAACAGGAGAACTGGTGCAGTCTTGAGAGTCCCTTGATGGAGCAGCCACAAATAAATCTGTTAGCTTTTGGAACCCATGCTTCCTTTATCTCTTCTTGAACCTCTCTGCCAAATACTGGAAGTTTTCACAGGGTGAAGGGGTTGATGTAGGGCTGTTGCTGCTGTGTAGTTGCTAGTTGGGGCACACTAGGTTAGAGCCATTTTCTATTTGGCCATATCAAAAGCCAGCCAGCCATGCCCCTCTATTTTTGGGGATTTTAATATGACCCTCTTTTCTCAGTATGAAAAATTAAGCCTTGCACGAACCCTCTAAAATGCCTGAGACTTACTGACTTACCAACGTCCAGAGGTGGACAAATCAAGAGGGAAGATACATTACTGCTATTCTGCTACACATAGAACTATGTCAAGTATAAATCTCGCTTATACCTCCGATGCTTTACTTCTGGACATGCACTCAGTTAGAAATCTTATTATGAGGGATATCCAACCAAGCCCCCCTCCAGCATCAAATAACCACCACCTCCAGACCATTGGATTGGTTATGGAGACTATCCAGATATTGAGTCTCTGATGTTAGGGTTTAACCCCTTATTTGATCTGCATTAACTGAACACTGTTTGATGATGATAATACTGCCCCTCCTGGGGTAGTGTAGGGTGGCTCTAAAGCATTTATCAGAGGTCAATATGAAACCATAATAGGTAAAGTGAGACAGGATGAAGGCATTCAGGTTGCACAGTTAGAAGACCCAACATCTGGAGGCTCTTTTTATTTAATCCTAGGATGATTTGGTACATATAGTGAGCTACAATTAGCTTCTCAAAAACGTATCTTGCTTCTCACTGATATGACTAAGAAAAAGCTTCTAAATAACCCCCAGGTTTATTTAGAATACAACAGAATCTACCAGCATTACTTGGAACCCTTATTACTAAAAACTTCTCAAGAGCATTGGCATAAGTGACCCTTCTGCAGACCATGTTGGACCGAGTAGCAATGTGAAGGAATGTTCCTCATACCATCCTATTTAACTTTAAAATATAGACACCAAGATCCTGACAAAGGTATTGGCGACTCACCTGAACTGGATTATTGGACATTTGATTCATAAACAGGGACGAGTCTCAGGTTATGGTCGACCATTAACTCAAACTGAACCTAAGTAGTTCACAGTTTGATAAACGGGTGATAGATTTGGCCAGGTTGTCCGTCGTACCTCTGTCTGTGTCCCTGCAGAGCGTCATTGGTTGCTAAGACACTGGCAATCCCACAGCATCATTGGTTGCTATGGTGCGCCAAACCCAGCCATAAGTAATAATAATAAAATAAATGTGCCTTTCCAAGCAGATTCAATGCTCTGGCACTCTGATGGACGGCACCACAGTATTTTTTTCGAGATGCCACATGGGATGGCTCATGGGACAGTTATAGTAATAGTGTTTAGTGGTGGGTTAGGGTTTTAACCATATGTTTTGTGTTACAGTAGATACCTGGGTATCAACTAAGTTATAATTGGTCAGTCATCTGGCCATTTAGGTAACTGTCCATTGCCAAGCACCCACCTGGGTCTGGTTTATGGAGGCAGAGTATCAGCCTTCTCATTGGGCAGCCCTTGTTGGACCATTCAGTGTGCGAGGACCTGTACCTTTTAAAAGGTCTAACTGCCATCACTAGCTCTCCAGTGAAATCCAACTGCAGCAGAGCTCCCCCTCCTGTCCCTCTTGCTACATGTTTGTTGTGGTGTAGACAGCGGGGATGGTCGTTTTGCTTAACAGAAAAAGCACCCAGGCTAAGGCACTTATTTATTTATTTGTAGCCATGCCTCTGTAGCTGGGCTTGTTATCTAGGTCATTTTAGTATAGTGTGTTGGTTCAAATACCCTCTTAATAAATGATTCAGCCTTTTTCTATCCAGCCTCAGCCTTTATTTAAGTACGATTTCTGGTCTATCATTCTAATGTTTATGTGTTTATGGGTTCCTGTGTGACATCTCATGCTCGGGAAAAGTTAAAAATCTGTGTGTGATCTTTCTGAGATGCCATTGGTCAGTAATTTTTTTACCTAATCATTCATTTCTGTATTGCTAACCTGCTCCCTGTGCTGCCTTGAATTGAGTAGTTGGTTAAGCAAAAGTAAGAATAACTAAGAAATGTAAGTAAGATTAAGTGAAAGTAAGAATATTTGTCACACTGCACAAAGAATGAACCGCATTTTGACTCTCAAAGAGATGTTTTCCATCCATATTCTTGTAAAGGTAACCCCCACTGATCCTTTTTCTGCAGTTGCTCCAACAGCTCCTTAATGATGATGGCAATGTTCTACCTTATGAGAAGAGAGCGCTAGCAAGACACTATAGTATCTTCTCATAAGCATTTCACCACGCTTTATCTTTTATTTGTTTTCAAATGCCAGCTGTAAAGTTTACATATCTTTTATTTTGCAGCTCAATATTTTGCAAGCATCATGGTCATCGTGGGTCTTTCTGTGGTTGTGACAGTGCTAGTTCTACAGTTTCACCATCATGATCCACAAGCAGGAAAAATGCCAAGATGGGTGAGTTTCTAAGTGGAGCCATAACCTAGTTTGTCAATATTTATTAGCTCCATCAAGGTTGAGACCACAACACCAGTTGTAATCTCTTGCTATTGGAAGATTTAACCACTTGTTGACAATACTCTTATTAGCAACACATTGACTTCAGTGTAATGCAAAAACATGACTGCTATCAATTGTTTACAGTTCTCAGTAGCGAGAGAAATACAATGACTCGTTTAGCCCCTGCATTAGTGTCAAACTTTTGCTCATGGGATATATTAAAATACCAGAAATCAGTGTTACAATGCTACCCCTATGCAGTTTTTTTGTGAAAACTCACTAACTTGGTGTAAAGAAAAAAGGAGTAGGACAAAGCTCAATTTTGTACAGGATAATTTGAAATCTGCACATATTTACAGCTGTCTATATTTCTGAATTCCGTGAACTGCCACTGATTGTGGCTTTTACTTAAACCAATTTAAGTTTAATTTGAATTGCCCAAGTAACAGGTTTACTTTAACCTGTTCATAGTTAGAAGTCTTTGAAACTTAGATGCCAAGATATAATTAAGCTGCATCAGTGTGTATCACTTAATTTGACCAAAGACTAATTAGGCTTCCTAAATATTTTTTATGTTGTTCTTTAAAGACATATAAGGCTTTTATTTATACACTGTTAATAAATACACCGACTTATATGTTTGATAATAGGCTGAGAAAAAGACAAGTTTTTTATTAGGCTTATATTATTGCAGCCTGCCAGCTTCAGTTGTCACAAAGAGGCACTGTGACAACTTTAGTCATACAAACCTATGTGATCACCATGTCTTAGCTGTCATGGTCAGGAACCAAACAGATCGTATACCAAGCTTTAGTAGACACCCCAAGCTGTCATTTGACAGTAGGGTCTGAGAACTAAAAATATGCATTCCTAGTTTTTTCTATTTTTCTCACTGGGAAGCTGTCTTTATTGCACATCTTTGTTTTTTTGTTGTTTTTGTTAAATTTCTCATTTTCTAGTAGGTTCCCACATCCTCCTCCCTGCCCCTTGCAGGGTGCCTTCATTAGCTAAGCAGCTGCTGTGGAGGCACCCGTGCCTGCATGTTCCCAGCCGTGCCCCCAGTAGCTTTGTGCGTCCATAGACACACACAGCCCTGCGGCAGTCCACGCCCCTCCTGTCCTATGGCTCCTCTGCTCTCAGTATCCTCTCCCGCAACCAGAAAGTAAGTTTGGGTCGGAGGATCGCTTTGAGTACCGGCGGCGGTGACAATCGGCATTGAAAGGTAAGTGTGGGGGGGACGGGGTGTCAAAAAGGTACTGCGTGTGTTTTTTACCTGAATGCGGAGAATGCATTAGGGTAAAAAACGCCCAGCCTTTAATACTACTTTACCATTAGAGCACTTATGGCAAATCATACTTGTAAATGTTACTAGCCAGATTGCAGATGCCATCAAATTAAAGTGCCAGTAGACTTTGGATTCATTACTTCTTTGATTTGTTTGTTTCCAGACAAATAAGGGGACCATTATATGTCTATAGTAGCCTATAGTCACTCTCGTTTACCTATTTTGTAGTATATACAATCAACTGCCTGGGACTTTAATAAAAGTTTATAAATGTACAAATGGAAAAAAAAATGTTTTAAAACAATATTTTTTCCCTTAAATGGTTTAATAACCATGTCCTCTGCTTTTTGTCAGTCTTGGTCTAAACTGTACTGGACCAAAGTGGTTTACATTAAACACAACTCTGATCAATCAACATAAAAGTAGCATGCCCTCAACAAACAGGACTACTAGAGCTAGGTAATAATACCAAATTTCAATACCATAGATTGTATTCCTATAGAGGCCATAAGACATGGAAAGTTGGTCAATAACCATAGAACATTGCTCTTTTTGTCACTCATTTGAATGTCTATATGGCAAGACAATTGCAAGTCCCTCAGGCTCACTTGTAAAAAGTTTATTTGCAGTGTTCTCCTTATAACAACAAACAATTGTGCTGTGAACCCTACACTCCATTCCCATTGTGGGAGCTCCATTTCTGCTGAGTAAACTAGATGATGCACTGGGTGTAATCCTGCCAACGGGGTGAGAGTGAGGAACGCAATGAGAGGTATCATTATTTTTCTAATGCTTTACTGAGCAAGAAAGCTAAATACATAAGGCCTGCCTGTGGATGGCTAAGACATTGTGTTCGATGGAACATAAAGCAAGTAAAAAGCCAATGCTGCAATTTTTAGACTGACATTACATCTCATAAATTCCTTCATGAGGCTTAACGAAAAAGAAAACATGAGTGAACAGCTAATGATCCCAATATGATATATGAGGCTGCCTTTTGTTTGAAAACCACATTTTGCTAAATTTCCATGCCAGCCACTGTTCTAAGTTACTTTCATATGTCAGTGGTAAAGGGATTTTACAAGTGCCTATACCATTTTAAAAATGATTGTTGAGAATGCACCATACTAATAAGATGCCTCATTTTAAAAGGGCTACAGGATGGCCCACATGCTTTAATTTTGAACCACTTCCATAGAACAAGTATCCAGTTGTGGACTTCTGACTGTTCTCTGCCTTCGCTGATTAGCATACTTGTTCTAGGTCAGTAACTTGGAAAGAACTAAAGCAAAATAAGCAGCATGTCAGTCAAGAAGGGAATCAGCAGTGCATTTAACCCCTGACAGGTATACTTTAAAAGGGGTTTGCACGGGGAATTAAAGTATAAACCTTTTTGGAATGAAGGGTAATGTAATAACATCAAGGGGTTTCTGAAAATTTACATAACAATAAGCCCATTCGGATATAATGACACCTTACCAGTTTAATTTCTTGAGGCAAAACATGTCAAGTACCAAAAATAAATGTAAACGTCCTCCATAGGTGATTTGACTTCAATAAGTTAAAAGTGGTGTGTTTTTTGTGGGCTTAAGGCCAAAAAAAAACTGTTACACAGTAGGCATAGATGGCAACGTCAAAGAAGTGACTTTTCTCTTTATAATTTTAAACCACTTTTCCCCCCCTATCATAAGGAGAAATATAGTCATCTCATATAAGCCTTCCTAGATAGCAAGAAATTGTGCTGCAAGTTTGAAAATGACTTGCTAAACTCTTGCAGACTTGCCAAGCTTCACAATTTTGTTGCACAATTACAGCAAGTCTGCATTGCAAGTCTCCAGACCAGCGAGCTTGCAGAGCTCTTGCTAAGACCTGCAGGACTCTTGCCGTAGACTTGCCAAGCAAATTTGCTACAAATTCAAAAAGTGTCAACTAGAACTTGTGCTGCGAGTGTTCCGCAAGTCTACAACTTGCCAGGAATATGTGCAGCACGTTAACAAAAATACAATTTAACCCTGCCACAAGTTTGTGGCAAGTTATCCTTGCTATCTGGGTTTTTAATTTATCTTGATATTCTAAGAATATAAATGCAAGAAAATGTGCAAAGAAAGTACTTGTACCAGAGGAGGCTGCTTTGGGCCATAAAGGTTGGGTACAAGTTCCAGTGATGAAAATCCAGCCCTGAAAGTGTTATTGTATTTTGCACACCATCTTAATTCTTATTTGACGTGCCAGTATGAGTTCTTACATATCTATAAGTTGACATATAGAATAACTTTCAGCAGAATGATAATGGCTTTAAAGGAGAACTATGGGGTCAGGGCTTTTCCCCATAATTCTTCCAAGGGTCACGGGAGAACACAAACTAGCGTTCTCCCGTGACCCAAAGCTCAGTATAAGGCGAGCTACAGTTCGCCGTATACTGAGACGCTGCAGCCGGGACGGATCCTGACAATACTGTCTGGATCCACCCGGGATTCGGGATTGACAGCTGGCTCTGCCTATCCAGAGGCAGAGCAAGCTGTGCCCTCCCGTGCGTTTCGCCAGTCAGTGCTGGAGGACCGGACAGGGGAGGGGGGGATCCCTGCAGGGAGCAGTGAGTGACAGTCACGGCTCTCTGCGGGGATAGATCGAGAAGTGAGCGAGCGACGGTATGTGTTCGCTCACTTCCCGTTCTACTGAGCCGACCTGTGACAGTTTCATTGTCACAGGTCGGCTCAGATTATGAGGCTGAGTGAAAATCACTCGCCTCATAATTCTCCTTTAAGGTTTGAGTCCTATAAGGGACCCTAAGTCAGTAAAGTACGTTAACATAATTCTTACCCCTTGGGCCCTCATGTTTGTTATGCATTCTCCAAAACAACTCATACTTGTCAAAGAACACATTTAAGTAGTATTAATAGCTAGTATTCATGAAGGGAAACTAAATTATATGCTATACAAAAAAACTCCAACATTATGTTTTAGTTATGGGTAGAAACAAATTGAAGAGATTTCTTCACACCTGGTCCTGCTGACCACACAGAAAGTGAGAGGAATTCTAACCTTTCAACACCCTATACAAAACTTGAAAAAACAATGTTTTGTCTAGTGTTACATCTTAGGACAAGTACTGCATTCAGCTAAGGGTTAATCTGATGTATTTGTAAAGTGCTTTCATGGGCCTGAGAGCACTCATGCCCTCAGTAGTGTTTCATATGGCTCATCCAGCAATATAGGATAGGTTCATAAAGACAGCTGAAGAGTGATTTAACTGCTATAAAAGCAAAACAGAAAAGCATTTATCAAAAGGATTATATCCCCCAACAAACACCTTATTTGGAAATCAGGTTATATTATAACTGTCTGTTTTTCTGTTGGAAGCTCCCTGAAGAAGTTCCCAGCTTCAATTGTGCATTGTACATTATTATCTTGATCAAGGACATAGTAAGTCAGCTCATCTGCCATTTTGAATATGTCTAACAATTACATTTCATGCTGAATATGAGTACGGGAACACTAAAGTATTAACACAAGCTGTGAGCTGCATTTTGCAAACACAGCTTACTTCTCTGCCCTTCATCTGCCATTACGTAGGATTGTGATAGACTAACATAATAGACTTAATTCTCTGCAGGTGAATGGTGTTGTCAAATAGACACATCCAATGTCAGCTCAGGACAGATATGTCTATACTTGCTCTTTTCTGTGCTCTGTCTCAATGATAACTGCATTCATTTAGAGAAATTGAAGGAGCCTATTAAAAGCACATTAATAGCCCGCAGCTGCACACTTATCTAAATGAGCCCATAAAGGAGCATAGCAAGTATATTCTAAACTTTAATGGAAGGTTTGTGGGGTTTTTTCTTTGTCTCCATTCTTAGTGTAATTAGATAGACATTCGGATTAAACAAAACTTTCAGCAATGAAAATGACATTCAAATGCAAAAATCATCTATGACAGCCAGGTTGAGAAACCAGTGAGACTTTCAAGTAAAACATGAAAACAATTTGTTGTGTATTGCAGGCTTCTTGATGTTTTTAATAAAGGTTCACTAGTTTATGAACTTGGATGTCCCAGATAATATTTGCATTTGAAAGTAACTTTGCAGTTGGGTAAGGACAGAGATCTGGGGCCAGTCCAGAGAGGTAGAGTGACTCCCATGCACCCATTGAGCTGTACTGAATACTACATACTGTTTGGACTTCAAAACTGAGGGGGTTATTCACTTAGCTGTCAAAGGCAGCCTGAGTGAATAACCGAGCAGAAGTGAAGTGAGTCGAACGCTGTTCAGCTATTCACTTCAGCCTTGTACGGCTGATTTCAGCCGTACATCGGCTAAAATCAGCCGTACATCGGGTGCCTTCAGTCAGTCGAACATGCTCTGCAAGTTCGGCTGAGCTGAAGGCAGAAGGGGTTCGACTCAGCTGATCCAACATTTGGATTGGCTGAGTCGAAGCTCTGGCAGCTCACTCGCTGCCGTTCGCCCCTATTCTCATAGGGGGCCGAACGGCAGTAAGTGAATAGCCGAATGTCGCCGAGTGGCATTCGGCTCAACTATCTTGCTTGGTTCTTCCGAGGTAGCGAGCAGAATAGAAAATAAGTGAAAAGAATGAAGAAAAAAATGAAGCATCTGACAGATGCCGGCAAAAGAAAAACAATTAGCGGTGACAGCTTGCTCCACCCAACTGTATCCTATTGGCCTGCAACTACCAGAGTCTTCTAGCAGGTCCCGGCCAATGAATAACAACTGGGTGGTGCCGGCTTTGACGTCACGACCGACTCCGCCCAGTTGTTATTGTTTAATGACAGATCAGCATCCCCAGGTCATTTGGGGACGCTGATCTGTCATTACAACTGGGCGTTGCTGTCACAAGCAACCACACATTTTGCCTTCATTCCAATAGAGAATTTCAGTGTGTGTGTCTTTTAAATTGAAGGAATTTGATATATACATTTTTATATTATTAATTTAACAAAATTAAATATGACTAATTTAGATTTGTATGTCACTTTTGTCACTTCAGGTACGGGTTATCCTGCTCAACTGGTGTGCATGGTTTTTAAGGATGAGAAAACCTGGAGAGAACAAGAGGCCTATCCCCTGCCGATATACATACCCCAATCCCCACCATTCCAGCATTAGCAGCATTGAAATGAATATTACACCTGGACACCAATCCACCAATGGCAACCTGTACTGTGGTTACCACACCCTGGAAAGCCCTTGCTGCCCACCAAACAGTGACTCCGGTGTTATGTGTGGAAGAGTGACATGTCCTTCTCTGGAGGACAGTGACCTTGTTCAAAAGAAATGCTTACGAGAATGTATTCCAGAGATAGTTAAGATATTGGAAGAAGTGCAGTATATCGCCAGGCGTTTCAGAGACCAGGATGAGGGAGAAGAAATCTGCAGCGAGTGGAAGTTTGCTGCCGCAGTCATTGACCGCTTATGTCTTGTTGCTTTCTCGCTTTTCGCCATTATCTGTACAATTACCATCTTGATGTCAGCGCCGAACTTTGTAGAAGCAGTTTCCAAGGACTTCACATGAGAAAGCCTCAGGAAACTAAGGTTGCAAGCGTAAACATTTATTATAAAGAAGTTAATTGTTGTTGCTTTCGTCAAGTCTATAAACGTATTTTAACTAATTAAGGAATAACTGTGTTGGTGAAGAATAAACTCCAAAAATATATTACCATCTAGATAAAATATTAACATCAAATATTAGTAGTCTAACTCCATAGTAGTGTAACTATATGCTTCTGTGTCCTATAGCAGGAACATCAACTCCAAAAATACGACAGTGGAACATCATTTTACCCAACCCTTGACCCAAAAATTGCCCTGACTTGTCCACATGCCCCAATGCTTACAAAGATCCATTGCATTTTTAGTATAGATACTTCTGGGTCGATTTATTAAGCTGTATGAGTTATTTAATTGCATTAAATATTCAAGTAACTGCATTCAATAAAAAGTGTAACTCTTAAACCTATAGCTATTGCCTATATCACATACTCATAATATTAAAAATAATCAATAAGAAACTAAATCAACAATATCAAATTACAGAGTATTAAAGAAAATCAGTTAATCAGTTAAGTAACCAACAAATTCTGTGCAAAATCAAACAAAACAGTGTCCATATTGTGCTAAACATCCCTTTTTAATTAGTGCAAAAGTGTTTCTCAAATCCACCCTTGCAACAGTGTTTCTGCATACATATCATGTCTGTGCAATATTCCTCTCCACCTTTGGTGGAACAATGCTCACATTTTTAGATGGACCTTAAAGGTTAGGTAGGGCCATGAAGGATTTTTTCCCATATAGGGAATAATTACGAGCAAATTCTGGTCCTATTCTAGTAACATGCATAAGAATTAGGTTAAAGAAACAAAATATATACAACCTTAGTGTACCAACATGCGCACAAAATACACGTGTAGCAAACCTGTATTTTGTGCATGTGTTGTGTACACTGAAAACTGTGAGTGGATTTTATTACTTGGTTTTAAAAAAGGAAATCTTTTTATATAGAAAGCACTATCATTGTATATGTTTTATCCTATTGAACTGCTGCTTATGTGTGCACTTGATCTGCATGCATTTACCTGATCAAGTGCATGCATGCACCATTGCACCTTAGCAAGTGTATACATGCACCGTATCTGCATGCATATAAGGTGATAAGGTGCATGTGTGCACTTGATATGCATGCATGCACCTGCATTACCCTGTCTGACCTATAAGGCCCACCTATAAAAGGAGGAGCATTGTTCCCCTGAGCATGGAAATGTATGCAGAAACACTGTTGTAAGGGTGGAAACACTATTGCACCGATTAAGGGCTTGGACAATAAGGACACTGTTTTCTTTGATTTTCCGCATAGTTTGTTGACGGACACACAATTATTACTTAATCAATGAACTGATGTTTTTATGATCTGTGATATAATATTGCTGATTTTTGATTATTTTCATTATTGTATTTGATATAGGCAATAGATTTGGGTTTAAACGCTGCTCTTAATCGTATTGATTTCAGGCATTTTTGTTGGCTTATAACACTAAAGTGCTGGTGATCAAAGTCATTTATATTAATAGGCTTGTACATTTAATATTCATTTTAACTGCATCTTTTATTTTTTCAGACAATTCATTTCTCATCAAAATTCACAAACAACAGTATGCTATAGGTATGGAATCAGTTTTTCATATGAAATAGTTATTGTACTGCTGAAAGTATTTTTCCTTTCTCCCAGTTGTGCTGCTGCATTGTCACCCTGTAACATGTTTTTAAAAATTCAAAAATCACTTTTAAACTTTTTAAATCTGCAGCCCTCATTAAAATAATACCTAGTGATCCGATCCTGTCATGTAGATCCTTGTTCAGGTATTTCCTGCTGTTAGAAGGTGACTACTGTCTCCCAAATGTGTTTTTGCATTTTCAACCTGTTGCATTCACCCCTGGTGGAGACTATAAGTGTCCCTGCTGACACATATTGAGCAGGTATGGTCCATTGTTATCACCATCAAGAAACCTGTCCACATCAATGATGTACAGTCAATGCACATCTTGCCACATCTATAAGCGGCAGTCCGTATTTAATCATATGTGATAGGATTACATAAGATTTTGGAATAGATCACTGTCCTTGGACGTAAGATAAATGAGCCCAGGGACAGTGATCTGTTCCCAACTGCATGTAATCATATCATATACGATTACATGTGGACTGCTGCTTACAGATGCTGCCACTGTCACCTGGTCATTAACTTGAACAGGAACAGCATCTAAGTAAGATATCTAGGATTTCTGTGGCGGGAACCTACAGATTCCTGCTGCAGGTATCCCAAATCATCCAGTGTACATGAGGCCTATAAGTCCTCAGTTGCTCGATTTTGATCCATACCCAATCTGTTAAATACATAAAATAGTAACTAAATAAAATGTTTTCATTTAATATAGTTGTGGGGTCTGGCCTGGGGCTGACACATGGGAGGAAGGGAGTGAGTCATCTGCTCCCCTCATAAGTACCAGGTATATCCCTTCGATCTTGGCAGCCAAACATGGTAGTGGAATTGAAATATAGGCTGCTGGTAAAGTCACCATTAAAGTGAACCTGTTGCTTTGCTTGGTATTGTCAATGCACAGGTTTACTTTACCCTTCAGCGAATCAACCCTTTTATGGTGGTTCCAAGAATCAGTTTGCTTTAGAAACAAAGCATAAAAGAGCAATTTTACCTTTCAGCATGCTGCATATGCTGTAACTTTTATGCCTCAAGCTGGCTAAGAAATCACAGATCACTTTTGACAAGACTGTCTGTTACCATTAGAAAGAGCCAAAATATTTTACTGCATTATGGGGGTTGGAATGGTGGCAGGTGCAGTGGTGACAACAGAGGGGTTAAGACAGTGGCAGGTACAATGGTGAGAATGAAGGTAATTGTGATCTGGTGCAGAGGTAACAGCAGAGGAGCATGCAGGTGTTGTCACAGGAAAGTCAGCGTGCAGGAGCAGTTGAGGTAAGATGGGGGTTTGGTGTGGTGGCAAGAGGGGGTAAGTTGTGAGTGCATGGGTGGAGTTAAGGCACAATGGAGAGAGCATGGTAGTGTTGTGCACAGGCCCTGTGGTGAGAGCAGTGGAGGAGGATCGGGATGAGGCGCCATGGTACAGTGATGAGATCAGGGTGAAAGATAGAGGTGAGGTGCTAAAAACAGTGGTAAAGGGGGAGGTTTTGAGAGTGGAGGAGTGGTCATGTCCTGGAATCAGAGTGCTGTGTAGGTGTGGTGTTAAGATTGGCACGGTAATGGGGGTCAGACACCAAGGTGCGATGGGGACAGGTGCAGACTTGGTAGTTATGGTGGTAAGAAGGAAGAGGGGGCATTGTGACCGGCATATGGTTGGAGAGTGTGGGAGTGGTAGGCTAGGAGGAGGAAGGGGCTACTGGCAGGGTGCATGGGTCTAGTAGAAGTGAAGATATGGGCACACTTTTAATGACAGACCACCTTGGATACTGTGCATGCGTGGGGACAACTTTCTTCTTTTACAATTATGGGATGGTATATATATATATATATGTATATATATAATTATATTACCAGATTACAAAAGTTTTTGGTTTGAATTAACAGTAAATAAAATAGTAAAATATCACAATTTCACTGCTTTCATAATAAATGGTTCACGTTGCAACACTTGCCATTTTTCTATTTTACTACAGACATCCGATGGGAGTTCATTGTTGTCAAATAAAGTGAAGCTTATTGTTACGAATATGGACCTAAATGAATAAAAACAAATTGCATACATCTTCCTGTTCCTTCTTTGTCTTACTAGAGCACAACTAATTTCTCATTCAATCTGAGCATTCTGTTATTATTTCTAGGCCTCATTTATCAAAGTGACTTGAGGAAAGTTATTGTAGACTGAGTTGTGTGCACCAGCAACTGTAGTCAGAAGCATAAACATTTCCTGGGGGTGATCAATTATGGTGATTAGCAGAGAGCTGCACAGTGTGCTAACTATGACCAGTTATGCTTTCTGACATACTGGGCCTAATTCATGAAAGCATGGTTTACTTTCACATTGTCTTTCTATCTCGGTCCACTAATGAGAAGGTGAAGAAAGTATAATTAGTGCAGGAGCACACAGGTATGTGTCTATAATGCTTTTGACTGCAAACATGGAAATACACTTCAAAACTTGTAATTTGCATCTTGAGCTATAGAGCCTGTAGACATCAAGTTGCAATTACAGCTTAAAGTAGTTGATAGAATCCACATATTGTTCAATAATGAATCCAGATAAAACAAATATGCATTGCCCAGCAAAGAATTTCTTAAAATGTTTGCCCAAGCGCTAACAAATATTATGTTTCCGAACAGCTGGCTCCACCACTCTTAGCTCAGCTTCACTGATCTTTCTGTCAAGTACAAGATCACAAGAGCAGAGCAGTCTCCAGCAGCTGTCCATCTACCAGCTGGGAGAAGGGGGGGGGAGGAGGGGGAGCAGAGGAGTGGTTTGCCTTGCTGTACTTGTGTATTTCTTGAAGACACACACAGCTTACTAGCACACACAAAGGTGGCTCCACAGGACCCTGCGAGGGAAAGGAGCCAGCCTAAAACAGGATATTAGGGGACCAGCTAATTCTACTGGAAACTAAACATCAAGGGGCAGCATCCAATGTAACTGATATAATCACCATTTGAAATAGATTAAAAACCTTTTTTCTTACACATTACTTTAAAAAAAACCTTTATTGGCTTTAGGGTTTTATAACCCTAAAATTAATACAGTAGAACCGTGTACCTATTGGGTTGAACATACTGGTCTAATAATATCAGGTATTTTTCTGCCTTTATGAACTCTAAACTCTAAATGTACTGTTCTGTCACACAAATTTTATTAGGTTTTTGTTCAATAAAGCAATTAAAGTAAGCAGGATCAGAATAAGGAAAAATAGCTGACGCAGCTGCCACACATGATCCAGTAATATAAAGTCATCAACCAGCTTCTACTAAAACAGCCATGACAGCCAAATCATCCCATAAACGAATAATACAGAAGGTAGCAAGTTGACCCCGCAACCATGCCAGGTTCTTCTTGCAAT